TACCTTAGAATGTCCCATGGTGTTCATACCTCCACTGTCTATCATACTCTACAGTTAGTGAGCGAAGAATGTATGCTGCTTAAGCAATGCTCCAGTAATATCATGGCTGGGGACATCAAGAATGAATCATCAGTGATCGAAATTAAGGGGGGTCTATTATAGTATTTAAATCTGTGGACACCTTCAATCTGTCATATTCAACATTAGGGTTATGACAAGAACCCCTTGACTTTCATCCTTAATTTTGACCACTGATCACATCACTGTACCCATGTTGGGAATTGAACCTTGTTGTTCTGCATGACAAATTTTATATTAGTTGAAAACTTTCCAAATCTCTGTCAATAACCAATGACTTACATGTTTTGGTTGTTTGTTTATTTTATTTTTTAATGCCTCACTCAGTAATATTCCAGGTGTATAACGGCAGTCTGTAAATAGTCTGGACCAGACAATCCAGTGATTGACATCATAAGCATTGATCTACACAATTGGGATATGACGTCATGCAATAAAGCCACCAAGTCACCAAGCCTGACCACCCGATACTTTCAGTCGGTCTTACATCAAGCATAGGTTGGTGGGGACCTACATTATTCCCCGGAATCCCCACGGGTCGACATGCACGTAACTGTATAAGACTAGGAATGAGATAATATTAGGGTGGAACAGCCTACATATTGAAAGTGGCTTCAATGTACAACAACACTACTAGGGAGGGAAACCATCCCTTTCACACAAGGTGAACTGACATGAAGCCTGACCACGCCTCTCTGCGCTGACCTCAACTATTCTCCATACATACCAAGCCCGCTTATTCCCATAATAATGGCCGGTATGCCAGGCCATTTGAGTTGATTACATTGTCAAATGCTATAAACCACACCAGTATGAGAGCTGGGTGTTAGACAAGGTACACAATATAAAGGCAACACTTGAACTGTTCCTGGGATTATTGCTACACCTATGTTTATAGTACCCAAACAGGTGCTATTGAAAGCAGCTTAGAATTCTTGATCATGGAAAATATAAAAGACCTGCTCAAACAGTGTTTTCCCCACAAACATGACTGTTTAGTACAGGCGATCTGCTCTAAGTCACCTGCATGAGTGTATTCATGGAATGACACCATTTCAATGACTGACAATTTAAACCTCAAAAAGTATTTGTCAATAACACAAAGAACTTTATTTGAAAAGGCAGGCGTCTGTACATGTTATTTTACTTTACAATATATTAGTGAAACCTATATATAGCAATGGAGTTTTTGTAACAAACTCCTTTCGAGTTCATTTAATTTGTTTCTAAAATATACATAAAAATATAATTTGTTATTTATAACATTTTTATCATTTATTAGTATTTGGGACAGAAATTATTACACATACCAAATGTGTATGAACAGACCTAAAATATATGAATTATTAGGTCATATTTAGGACACATGCCACATATTGCAAGTTTGAAATCCTCAGTTCCAACAGGCAACTTGCTCTTACTGCATCATGATACATCAAGTTTTGACACAATTATCACATCGCAAGTCAACAATTTGATATGATATGTTACATTATAAGTGTGCTGCCTGTATTGTGGGTGGGTGCAGTAACTTTCAGTGCATCACAGAATTACTGCAGTATTTTCATCATCAGCCTGTGTGATTCTTTCTGTACAATGAAACATAACGTATTGTAGTTTAACATCTTGCATCAAGGAGGCCAAGTTGTCTAAGGTTCCTCAATTCCTTGGCAGTGTTACATCCCTTATGATTGTAGGTTCAAATCCTGGTTCGCCCTGATTATGTTTCTTGGTTCATCAGCACCATACCCATGCACATGGGTTTCACCAAAGTGGTGAAAATCTGAGATCAGCATCACTTTGGGATTTCCTCCTTCCTAAAAGCCAAGTTCGGGATTGTAGCCTTAACAGTTTTGGGCACGGACTGTGGATGTCTATTGTACTTTGCCAATTGTTGCGAAATGATGCTTTTGGATAACTAGAAATATTTCCTCTGACAAGGAACCAGGAACCCTTCCTAAACATTACAATTGACAACACCTACATTTAATTTACATACCTTTCACTTGTGTTACTGATAACATGTTATATCTGTCCTAGATAACATGTTTAAATGTTTACCTAGTAAGCACCATCAGCATCCTGATACTTCAACATGTTTACACTAAATATATGTAAACTATTGGCTACAATTTATTCATTTTTACATTTTCATCTAAAACAAAATTTGATGGAGGATCTTATTTTACATATATCGATATATTTTAAACAATCTGTTCAAAGCATCTGTGAGTGAGTGAGTGAGTGAGTGAGTGAGTGAGTGAGTGAGAGTGAGTGAGTTTAGTTTTACGCCACACACAATATTCCAGCAATATCACGGCGGGGGACACCGTAAATGGGCTTCACACATTGTACCTATGTCAGGAATCAAACCCAGGTCTTCGGGTTGGAAGCGATTTCTTTAACCACAAGGCTACCAGACCACCCCTCAAAGCATCTGTGTATATTAACTGTCAATAGATGAAGTATGAAGTATGAATTATGTTTGGTAGCATTAGGGTATATTTCATCAAGTGAAGAAAGTAGGCAATACACGAAGTGTTTGTTAGTCTGAAGGTTTGTTTGTTTTCTGTTTAATGCCACATTCAGCAATATTCCAGCTATATGACAGTGTTCTGTAAATAATCGAGTCTTAATCAGACAATCCAGTGATTGACATCATGAGCATCTATCTACGAAATTGGGATATGATAAGATGCATCAACCAAGCCAGTGAGCCTGACCACCAGATCCAAATAGCCTTACGACAAGCAAGGGTTGCTGAAGGCCAATACTCACATGGATCTTCATGGGTATGATAGTCTGTAGGTAACTTATGGACAATTAAATGATGGGTAGGGTATTTGGAGGTGACTTTTCTTTACCATGTACCATGGGCCTGTGCCCTTACATTACAGCTCGAACACACATATCTAATATCTAGTAAGGCAGGTAGGGATGAAGATCTAATAATTCAACTATAATGGCTTTAACAGGAAATTTACTTTTTTCCCACACTTGCCCAAGGAATGACAACATAGGCTTACAATCACAAATATGAAATGTCTCTGCCCTCAAGGATACCTCTAACACTGTAAGGGAAAATTTAAAGGCAAGTGGTCTTGAGATTAATAGTTTCTAGCTCTGCCATAGCATCAAAAATCATTTGTTACATTATATAAAGGCAATATATAGTATTTCAGTATTTGAAATTGAGCATGAAAGTCAAGGAATTCCCGGGATAACCCTAACGTAAATAGTCAAGAAAAGAGGTGGAAAAAAGGGGGAGATAACCGACTTATACCACGTGGGTCACATACGTGATGCGCTTTGCACAACAATGCAAAACCGTGAACCGAGGCTTGCTCCCCTCTCATCCGAATTGAATCGTCCGACCTCGGAATGTGAAGTGCTGGTGTCATTACGAAGAATAACGACCAGCCAAAACAATGGACATAACACACCCTAATAGTATAAGTACAAGATAACAATACAGATGCAATAGATACTTAGATGATACATAATAAATTGGAGAAAAACTCAAGGGCCCAAGATCCCCTTGATTATGAACACTGATACATCATCCAAAATCTGCTACCACACAAAATGTGGCAATATCCAGTGAGATTCTGAGGAGAAAAACAAGATGATGCGCATATTCTTGTAGCTACATTTCAATACCTGATAACATGTCATGGCAAGAGATCAGGTCAAAACAGAGAACCTGTATCTGCATGTTAGTGACACAATATCAATAAAGATTATAAGATAACACACTACACCACAGAAGGAAGCCAGCAATTCTCAAGAATAGAACATTCATATAACTCTGATAGCTGTGTTATAAATAACTACACATCAACAGTGTTATGACTAACAGTGTTGGTGTCCTTGAGGTTTTCCTGAAACAGTATTTGAATGTTTATAATATACATGATATAAAGACCCCTAAAGGTAACATCACTAAGATTAGAACGACAACAGGGACCCCTTAACTTTCAACCTAAACTTTGAACACTATCAAGATACACGATATCTGTTATCACAATTATTTGCATTGCAAAATTAAGCATGACAGTCAAGGGTCCTTGTCATAACCCTGATGTCAAAAGTTCAAAATTTAGGGGTCCCTAGAATAAAAGAACTATAGGAAAAGACCTCAAGGACCCCCAGAACCCCCTTAATTATAAACTGATGATATTTTTTATGACTACAGAATATTATTCCCCATGGCAGAGGCTAGTTCATGTAGCCTGAGCATGTTCAGCTGGATGATCTCGGTGTAGGGACAGACCACAGACATCATAAATCTGTCTGAATGAGGGCAGGTAACTTTGAAGATGGGCAGGCAACATTTATAGGTCATCTTTTGCAAGTTTTCAGTATTCATAATATCTGAATGCGGGCAGGTATCTTTGAACATGGGCAGGCAAAATTTATACACCTCCTGCCTGACTGTCTGGCAGATAATTTTAAGCCAACTTAAGGATTCAGTTTTATAATAACTCCTTATTGGGTTTTTAAATTATTTCAAACGCTGCAGGAGAAACCATTTAATATCAGCTAGTCACGTGACTCTCAAACTACATGTCAACAAACACTAAGAGCTATAGAGGTTTGTACATGAACATGAACCTGACATGACTAGAAACTTGTCACTATCATATTCATATGTATCTAATAAATAATGTCTCAACTGACATTTGTTAATGCAGTAAAAGTTTTAGGCAAAGCTTTGAGCATGTACAGTGTACAATTCAAGTATGGACTCAACGTCCCAAGTTCACCACCACTCAGCTTAGTTGAGATAGTGATGGTCCCATATGATGTCTGTCACTTGTGACAGTTTCGGGAAGTAGGGGGAAATTAATCCAAAAGGCATCACTTCCAGGACACACATATCATTAGTGCGGTATACTTGTATATACAACTGGAGTACTTACGTTCAACTTGTACTTATGTTTCTTAAGCCAGGTCCCCATTGCTGATGATTTGGACGTTGTCTGGCACTCGTTAGTCGTACACGCTGTGATCCGTCAGAATTGTTGCAATTACAGGAGACAAGACATCAAGTCTGTCATTGAATAATTCATCATCGCCCAAAGAGACATTCCAAGCTCGATGAATTGTGTCACACCTATAAACCCTATCAGCTCTGACCTGATGAATAGTCAAGAGCTCCGATATACTATAGGTCTTGAATGACAGCTCAACACACGTACCCCTTGACAGGGGGTTTTGGGGCTGGTGAAATATCCGATTCACCAATACAGTCACTGTTTGCCTAGCTGAAAGAACTGGGGCGAGCGTGGTTGTGTCACGATTGCTTCAGAGATACATTCACTGGTTGTATCGTGTGGTACATTCATATGTTGATATCGTGCGATACATTCATATGTTGAATGGTGTCGTACATTCACTGGTTGTATGATACATGCGCTACTTTCCCTGGCTGGCTGTGGTGGTGACTAACCTGTCTTCACCTGTAACATGGGCATGGTAATCTATACACACAGGAGACTCAACAATTGCTAAGATTTATTAATAAGCTTCATAACTTGATTATATCAGTAGGTATGAGTTTATCATTCATAAGACTAATAAACTATTATCAAGTGTTGATTCTAACATATTTCGTCTTCTAAGAAAGAAGGTACGAGTTTATCTTCATTCAAAAGACTGATAAACTATTACCAAGTGTTGATTCTAACATATTCCATCTTCTCAGTGAAATGATTTACCATCAGCTAACTGTCACATACGAACACATTGGTAGACACATTATAAAGAACTGTTATTCAAACATATTCTGTCTCTTCATAAAATATGAATACATCACTAGCTCTCGAGTCCAGTTTCAAGACATGAAAACATTGTTAATAATACACAATACTACACATAAGAATGTTGATTCAAACATATTACATCATTCAAACAGTATTAGAATATAGACATATATTAGACATATCAAATCTAGAAAATCTTGTGAAAAGTAAGATTTAAGCTTAACCAACAGAGAAATAAATCCTTTCAATACTACTGCTACACAAATATGACAGGTGGCTACACAACTTCAAAACTTTATCAACAAAGTCACTTCAACCATACATCATATAAATGGAAATAGAGAGAAGAAAAAAACCTGTCAGATCTCCACACTCATCCACAACCAACCAGCTTCCAGGTCGGGCAACATTAAACAAATCAAACCTACATGACCTTTACATGCTTCCAAGCACTGTTACAACATTTCTCAACTCCCGGATTCAAATTTCACAACATAGGAAGGCAATCACTCAACCAATGCATCCACAATGAAATAACCTATAAACGTACCTACATGGCTGTATTGACAATACCTGTTAGTCAGTAGGAACATGACAAGGGAAACAAATAGAACACTTTTGTCCTGGCGTGACTACTGCCACCTTCCAATGCCTGTTATCAAAGAGCGGCTATGTGTTGCAATGACACAACCTTGCCTTATCATGGGTGGTGCCTTGCCTGACATGTGGAAGTTGGTAATCACGGGTCTTGTGTTAGTCATACTCTTAACTTGTTTGTTATTATTAATGTTCCTGAAGGTCATCATAGCGATAGGTATCTACTCTCACGATTTCTGACTCTTCCTATTGAGTTTCCGAGAGTGAGGATGATTAATCAAGAGTACACTAGCATAGTCATGGTAAATGGAGCCACTTTGTCTTGTCATCTAAGCAACACAGCATTAACTAAGCCATTTGTAGATTTCACTGGAATGGTGGGCATGGATTTGTATGTACCTAAATATATAATTTATGACTAAATATCTTGTTAAATTATCATATCGAAATATTTGTTTCCTACAACAATATAAACAATGATCAAATAGAAATATTTGTTTCTTACTATGATATCAAAATGATTGTTTCTTACTACAATATAAAATAGAAATATTTGTTTCTTACTACAGTATCATATCAAAATGTTTGTTTCTTACTACAATATTATAGTGAAATATTTGTTTCTTACAACAATATTATATCAAAATATTTGTTTCTTACTACAATATTATATCAAAATGTTTGTTTCTTACTACAATATTATATCAAAATGTTTGTTTCTTACTACAATATCATGTTTGTTTCTTACTACAGTATCATATCGAAATATTTGTTTCTTACTACAATATCATATCGAAATGTTTGTTTCTTACTACAATATCATATCGAAATATTTGTTTCTTACTACAGTATCATATCGAAATATTTGTTTCTTACTAAAATATCATATCGAAATATGTTTCTTACTACAGTATCATATCGAAATATTTGTTTCTTACTACAGTATCATATCGAAATGTTTGTTTCTTACTACAATATCATATCGAAATTCATTTTTCTTACTACAATATCATATGTTTGTTTCTTACTACAATATCATATCGAAATGTTTGTTTCTTACTACAATATTATATTGAAATATTTGTTTCTTACTACAATATCATATCGAAATGTTTGTTTCTTACTACAATATCATATCGAAATGTTTGTTTCTTACTACAATATCATATCGAAATGTTTGTTTCTTACAACAATATCATATCGAAATATTTGTTTCTTACAACAATATTATATCAAAATGTTTGTTTCTTACTACAATATCATATCAAAATATTTGTTTCTTACTACAATATCATATCAAAATGTTTGTTTCTTACAACAGTATCATATGTTTGTTTCTTACTACAATATCATATGTTTGTTTCTTACTACAATATCATATCGAAATATTTGTTTCTTACTACAATAAAATATCAAAATGTTTGTTTCACACTACAATATCATATCAAAATATTTGTTTCGTACAACAATACCATATCAAAATGTTTGTTTCTTACTACAAAACCATATCAAAATGTTTGTTTCTTACAACAATATCATATCAGAAATATAATTCCAAATAAGAATCTTTGAGCAGACAAGGTAATAGGACACTCAGCCATCACTCAGCCTGCAGGGGAATGTTCACTTACAGTCAGGTGTAACCCTGTACAGTGGCCTGGTATAATGAACCTACACCACTAATGTCCTGAAAAAATCAAATTTGATTTGTTTTGGTTGTTCTTGCTGAACACTGAAATCCCAAAGGTTATGATACCATTACAATGTACAATTCCGGGACGTACTTCTCATCATTGCATACAGGCTTTGGGAGTATCCTGTAGGAACTGGCAACGTGGATATATCATCAAAAACTACCATGAAACTTGCTCAATAACATCTATACTGATAAAGCCCTCTCAATGAAGGGTTGGAAGGGGAGTAACTGAGAAATGCTTGGCTGGCATTGGTTACATTAATCTGTAAACCATGTGAGTGAGTGAGTGAGTGAGTGAGTGAGTGAGTGAGTGAGTGTCACTGCAGTCAGCAATATTCCAGGTAAATCATGGAGAGCCTGTAAAATAATCAAATCTGGACCATGCAAACCATTGCTTGACAGTATGAGAAACATTCAGAGTCAGGGTACATTGACAGATGAGTGACGCAGCCAGTTCACACACTTAAATTGCCAAATCCTCATCTTAATCATAAGTCAAACATAGGTTACTGAAGGATTATATTCGTTAACGGACAAAATAGATATATAGCTTTACATATTGTACACATGTGGGAAATCTTCAATTAACAACTTCTGTATCCCAGCATACACTTTCATGAGATCACAATAGCTGTTACCAGCAAATCTTTAACCTAACACCACTAATTTCAAAGGGACTGATAGCAATATTAAAATATAAACCTTTATCTAACATTGTCTTAAGGTAACTGTGTTTCTCAGTACAAAACTGTTAACCTGTCCTAGTTAATGAAAATCAATCTAATACCGATGTATGTATCCTCCTATCACATTGATAATGATTAATCAATTTTCTTTATTAATTGGGTTAATTGGGTGTCATCTCTGTATGAGGCAATTAATCACAACCACATACAACATGCAATACATCCTAAACCCTGACTAGTTTCAGAGTGTGATACCGGGATGTTACGATGAGACTATCTCCCGTTACGAAATGTATCATAGTTCACGATAGGATACATATTGCACTATCTAATTCGCAGCACAATTGTGTGAATTTTTTTATTTCACAGGGCATAAATCAATAAATGACATCATATATAACAAGAGTGTCGCAACTCATTTAACCAGACTAGACCTTATTAAATGTAATTGTATGTTGAGGTTATAAAACTTCTTCAAGATGATTGCTGATTGGTTATAATAGCGGAAGATGCCCGTTTGTAGTTGCATTTCAGGGATTGTAATGCTGTTTTAAAAGTTCCATGTGTAAAATGAAATGGAATTATATACAAATCGATAAAGGATTAAAATACAAATCGATATGGTGAAGTGTACATCACGTATCGTAATGTCTGAGAATATTATTGATGCATCGATGTAGAAAGACATTTCCATTTGCTCTGTACAGTGGGATGAACAGACTGGCAACAAAGTAACAGGATTATTGTATTCGATGTAATAAGTGCCCACGGCAACATTTGCTAAGATATTGCACCCCTTCCGATTGATCAATGTTCACAAGACTTATTTATTTCGTGTATAATACCCACTAGTGTGTTATATGCACTCTTTATTATGGGCAATTAAAGTCTGGAAAAATATATCTGTCGTACATAAACATTTCAGGCTGTCAACATAAACCATGAAATTTATCATTCAACTCTGTTTTTTCGCAAAAATAATCTTCTAAAAAGAGGCCCCTATTTCAAATTTTGAAATTATTATGTCTAATAGGAAACTCATTTTTCAACAACAACCTGATCATTTGCCTTCTAAATCAAAGTAAATGTATTCCTTATTCAGTGAGTGAGCTGGGCTTCACGCTGCTTTGAACAGTATTGCAGTTTATCACAGCTAGTCAGCTTAATGTGGGAGGAAAGCCCGAGATGATGTCAGTTGCAGACGTTTACCACTTTTCTGAAACCCACAAGCATGGGTATGGTGCTGACAAACCTTGAAACCTAAACTGCATCAATCAGGATTCAAGCCCATCTTTAAGGAGGATTAATTAGTTGTTTAAGTTCAGAGGGTCTGCCTTATATGAAGCCATGAACAAGAGAGTCTGTTTTGGGCAAGAAACAGTTAATCTGGGCTGTCACTGAAAAAACTATGTGGAAATTACAGATCAATGACTCACTTTAATGGTTCTACTGTTTGGCTCACACTCTTATCTCAATTAATGAACTAATTCATAGATAAGATTTCATTCAACTAACAAGCAGAGAGAGCCTGGAATAGATTTAAGCAATTTACAGTGAGCTGGCTACAGTGTGTTATGTTGGCCAAGCCTGTTGGCTAGTCAATTATTTAATCTTAATCCACCTTAATATTGAGGGCATGTTGGTGTGTCTATTTGTCAGTTTGATGAGACATTAGTCATGAGAAACATGTTGACAGGTTCAAGGAAATAGGTTGAAAGAACAGGAACTCCTTATTAATATTGCACAATACTAAAAGTACAGTTTGGACGGAATTTTCCCCTTCTATCTCACAGGTGTTAAGATAGTTTTGCTCTGATGTAGATTTGTGACATTATTAAGCCATGTAATGTTCAACATAAAAAACTGAAATGTAATGTATGCATAATATAGTGAATATGAACCTACTCACGTAAATTGTTCTGCTATTCAGAGATGAGAATGTTGTTGTTGTTTTTGAAAACACTGAAAGCAAGAGTGGGGTCTGGGAGACTATATGATTTATGTATATTTTGTAATGTAACAGCATGTATCACAAAAGTGACCCTTGACGTCACAAAATTTGTGGAATTATGTAGATCCGCTGAATTTTCTCATCCCTGGCTGTTGTATCCCAGCAAAATGGAACAATACGCAATGATAGAAGTATATCTGTGTGCTCTTTGAAGTTTAAATGTGCGAACAACATGAATAAGAGGATCCATCTTCGTACTCAGTCAATGTTATTTCAACATGAGTTACATAATACATGTATGTGTAATTGGTTCTTATAATGGAAATATACAAAGTACTTTGTGAGTACCCATCTGGCACCAGGAACCTATTTTCACTGTGTTTTCACAATTTTATTCATATTAATCAATAAATTTAAGAATTTCGAACACTGAATAAGGTTATGAAATTCTTACAAATTCAACAGGGATTTAAACCCCTATTTTTCAATATGTTTTAACTGTGAACAAAAGTACAATCCTCCTACTGGTATTAACCATAAGCACTCATGCCTAACCTCATACTTCTGAGAAAAAAGAAATGTCTGGTAGCTAAGTGTGCCTTCTCTCATTGTAAGTTTTACATGCAAAATTGGACCAAGAACAAACAAAAAATGGAGGATACTACAAAAAAAACCTGACTAACCATTATTCAAGCATGCAAACAGATCATCACAAACCTGGAAATGGGAATGCCAATTTGCTCAAGCCGCATACAAAATGCCATATAAGAATTGCTTCGATTTTGGTCAAGAACATGTGTTTTCATCTTCAGTGTTTTGTGGAAAGTTGGCATAAAAACAGTATTCTGTATGCGTACACTGTAAGAGTAGTCAGTATATGTTTCAATCCTAACATGACACCCCTGAATTAATCACCATTGTTCAAAACCTGTTTTTTTTAAATTACACAAGGTTGCCTAACAGTCACCTTGTTAAGTCAGCTGAGTAAATGTTCTGGCTACTTTTGTACACCCCTTAAACCCTTGAGCAAACACGGTCATGTCAGGGTACAGATGGGTGGAGCAAGCTCCCAGACAATATCCCTGCTCAACACACAACATTGTTCCTGACATTGATACCAGAATTTCTTCCTCTCCATAAAATTCAAATTCAGCCCTGTACAATCAATCTACATGGATTCACTGAACAAACACACATGGTGCAGTGTCCCTTGGTTTACATCTATTGAATTCCTCTCCTGTTTACATACACAGAACCATAGGAAAGAGATCATTACAATAAAAAGTTCTATGGTGTGAGATACTAAAAAACGTGAGTTATTGAATTTGATATTTGAGTTGGATATGATCATGCGATAATGAACATAGGTTTTTTTGTTCAGAAAAAAAATTGGTGCAAACAACGGGCTGTGATTATCTATATTTGGTTTCACTTAGTGGACACAATCAAATAACCATGGTAACCTAAAATATTTGAAAGACACAAGAATCATCAAGCTTTGTACTAAGATACCCACAACTTGCATGTGACTATCCAAGAGAAAAGAAACTAAGCTTAATAACAACTTACTCAAAATGCTCAATGTATCCTGAATACATCATCTGTTAAAATGATCTGGACTCTCGATGTGACTAAACAATGAATCTTAGTTCCCATGGAGGGACCAAGGCCCTTTTCCACAAAGTGATCCTAGCATTTAAGGTGATTGTAACACCCATACTTTAACATAGGCCTACAATCGTCTTTTGCAAAACGAGGCCTGGTCCCAATTGCACAAAGTGATGTAAGCACTAAGACTATTTTAAGTCTGCATTGGAATGTGGGAGTTAAAGAGTCTTAGCTCTAAGATTGATAATAGGCCCTAAGCACACCATTACCTGCTTACTGAGAAACACACACACATCTAATTGCTAAAATAATCATGATAATTTCCTTGGTGACTTTTCAAGTGAAACAAAAACCGAATTAAAAAGATATTCAGTATGCAATAGGTACAAGTAATTCCTTCACAAAGCCTTGAACTAGTTAAGCATTGAACGGAACAGCTTTCACACTTGATTGTATACTAAGATTGCATATCACTGTGGGTGGATCCTGCTTGACTAGGGGAGTATTTAAATATCAACACAGATACATGTAAACCTCTCAGACTACTCTTGTAACAAATCAGTATGACACAAGAGGAATCATTCTTTATAAACCAAATCACGTTTTGCATTTAAAAGATGTTCTACTATTTGTAACTTCCCATTTTCGCGTTCTTTATTATACCCGACTCTCTTAATACCTTAATACCCAAGGGGATTCCTGGTAAGGATAAATGGTCCCCCGCAGCCTATGCTTGTTGTAAGAGGTGACTAAATGCATCTGATGATCAGGCTTGGTGGTTTGGCTGAATATGTGTCATCCTCCCCTAAAACAGGAGCGATGATCATGACATCAATCACTGGATTGTCTGGTCCACTCTTGTTTATTTATCTTCGGCTCAATGTGCTGACGCTGTAACCGTTGGGATTCCCTAACACCTGTGTAACATTCTTAAAATTGCTATCCATGACTGTGATTGGTCAACAAAAATCATCAATATTTCAAAGTATCCACTTGGCCCCTACAACCTCAATGGGAAAGTGTATGAATGATTGAATAGTTTCTTCATACTATTGTCATCAATAATATGTCTCTGGGACCAATATGTAAACCTGTACCAGTCAAACCAGTAGTTGATAGGTGAGAAAGAATCCACACATTCTGACATAACTATCTGCCCCAGTGTCCCCAAGGGGCCTTGAGATAAGCAGAGAAATCTGGGTCAAGAGGGACACAGAGCTCAGGAGTGATAAGGTATTGCAATTCTACATCAGTCCCTAGAAAACTATTCCTCAATAGGAATCAACTGATAAACCCCATGACTGAGTATGCACCTGCACTACAACTAGTACAGAGTGAAATGCATATATCAAGTTTATGTTGAAAGCACATTATGACTAATGCAGACATAAAACATGAAAATTAAATCAAAGTTTGCCTCATTAATCTTCCTCCTACAGAATGTTCACATCAAAGAACGACTAAAAAGAAATCCCTGAGAAAATATCCATAAATGCAACACATAACTCAGAGTGAGTGATTCCTCCGCTACCGAGAGCCATGGTAGACATTATAAACTGAAAGCTACAAGACATCTATGTACTGATAACACACACACAAAACCAGAAAAAAATATCCAACAACTTACATTATTCCGCATGATAAATGGAAACCTGAGGTAAATGAGATTAAGTTGCACCGAACTGTCCCATTCAAGATCTAGCCCTTGGAGTCTTGATTGTCTCAACTCACATGGTCAGATATTCTGAATGACAGAATATGTTTGAATCAACACACAGCACCTGTTTCTTCGGTCTATTACCTTATTTGATAAAATTGGACAAATATGAAATATTCTTGAGCAATACGATAACAAGTGGCATCTATGTTGAATAAAAAACATCAAGAAAAAACTCACCATTACCCGAATGACACATATTCAGATTTGACAGATACGAGATGCTAGCTTATTAGAGAAATTTATATAACAACACTGGTGTCAACTATAAGAAGATAGTGAAAAAATAAAATCACCTGCAGATGAGCTGTTCGGTCTGTCATCCAACTAACAAACCCATCGGAAGGGGGACAAATTCCTCGTTTTTCTGTCAAGCTTGTAAATCCCACCTCTGAGTGCCTGACAGCACGTGTGAAATGTGAAGGGGCACTTGAAAGATTTAAAAGTGCACAGAGCCAATGTTAATACCGTAAAGTTCACTTGTAGATGACAGGACTTGAAGGAAATATTCACAAAACTGCTACTGCTTGGAGAGGTTCCCGAGTTTCAGTGACATCTCCACACCCGCCCATCCACGAAGATGGGGCTGTTCTCGTCTACTGTTAGGTAGAACGCAAATAAGCAGACGACAACTCCTTGGGTCACACTCGAGTGAACAGGACAGGTAGGAGGCCGGTAGCAGCCTGGGGAGGAACTGGCTTGTTCACTTGTTGCTATTAAAAGAAACCTGAATGACGACCTGATGCTCACTCAAGCACGGAAGCCGGCTGAGAAATCACATTCTCTCTTGAACAATTGTTCCCTAATACAATACCCTTCAACACGATTAGGCACATTCCACAAGAGGTTGAAGCTATGAGTGTTTTGATATGGAGCAATTACAGTCTGTTTGAGAGTCACTGAACATTTGTCATGTGAACCGCCAGAGCATACAGCTACTGTATGAGTTCAACTGTACATTTAAATTGGAGATACTGGATCTGCCACCTTAACAAAGTACAGATTCCGATGAACCCTAATCTGATGATCCCAATGCCCTTAAAGCAAACAAGCAGTATATGGTCTGTTTAACTCTTCTAACATTTTACCACAAAAACGTACACACATTTTCCGTCACTGCATTAACACTTTAAAATGTCCATAAAACAACAATTCAAGGTTAAAATAAACATTGAATACAAATTCCAACATTACATTTATAATCACCACTGCGCAGAATTACGTCAATTCAAGATGGGGAGTTACAAAATGTGAAAAGAAATTCCGTCATGAATGTATGATCATCACTGCATGAAAATTAAAAATACTGCATAGAATTAACTCAAATCAAGAAAGAGATGTAAGAAACACAACAAGAAATGCCAAAATCACATATATTATCATTTATCAAAGCGCTGTGGATGTATTAGATCATCATCAAACATATCTGTTGTGGGATGGTCCAAGATGTTGCAGGTTTAATAACTGTGCTCACAAAGCATGCAAGACAAACACGCCTTGGGACTATTTACTGTTGAATTTTTAAAAATATGACATGGTCTACCTACCTAAAGATACAGTACAAAGCGGTAGATATTTGAAAGGTTCCATTTGAAGTGAAGAGTAAAACTAACAATGTCTCAAGAGAATGAGGGTGAAGCAGCTTAAAGTTTCTCTTATTACATGTTACCAGATGAATTTGCAGAAGCAAGTAGGTGACACAAGTTTCAAACATTCATGAATTCAAAATCACTCATATGGTAAGGGGAATGTGTGATTTTTTCATGTCATTTTATCAACCAGCAATTCGCAGCTGTGTTAGTGTGGGTGACACCAAGAATGGGCCTGTCACATTGTACCCATCGAACCTTGGTTTTCGGTGGTGAGCCAACACTTCACCACTTACAATGTTCATTAGTAAAGGGGTCCTTGGATCCTTGAGGTTGGCTGCAGTTGTGTTTGAATCCAGAGACCACCAAACTTTTAAACTTTTAAGATTAGGACCACTCGACGTTCTTGTTTAACTTCCAACACTGATACTGAACCTAGTCCCTGGTTTGATTTTCCGAAAGTTAAAAGCATACCCAACTTAGAGCCTCTGTATGGGACGATGTCCACGATGTACCACCTTACCCCACTATGATAGGAGGCTATGCAATAATAAATTTAAAAACGTTCATTTGTATTGTGATGTAGCGTTGTAAAGGATGCATTGATTGACATTACAACTGAGTGCAGCTTGTACTCTGACAAACACTGTATCGCCTTACTGTGATATACTCACCGCCAAGAGAGATGATTCCAAAGTGTATCACTTAATGACAAAACTAACAAGAAGTCAAGTGTTACCACAGTACGTCTTTATTCTTATCATGATATGCTGCACATGATTTCCAAGTTTACACGCTGATCTTGCACAAGACAAATAGTACATCTCAAGTCATGGATCTGTGATGTCACATGTGATGGGTTCATGCACATCGGTTCATGCAACATAACAGTATGTATGCTTGTGCATCGAACCAATCTACTATCTCTTGAATATGAGTAATTCTTCATATATTAACCAACATGTATGGTACTCACGTTTTTTTTGTCAGTGAGTATATAATACTGATGGCCAGTCACAAATTACCAAAAATAGCAATGTTATCAAGCAAGGGGCTTCTAAGTAGCTGTTTTAATATGACGACACTTCAGCATATTCATAAAATAATTGAAATACCATTGTATATTACATTTAGAGGGTTAATCGAAGCACCGAGACCTGACAACCATGAATATATAATTTAATGTCTACCATTCAAATCTGATTCATCAATCAGAGTGAGTGAGTTGGGTTTTCACACTGCTTTTAACAGTATTACAGTTTTATCATGGCATGTCAGCTTAATGTGTGAGGAAAGCCCAAAGTGATGCAGGTCTCAGACGTTTACAACTTTTGGTGAAAACCATGAGCACAGGTATGGTGTTGACAGACCTAGAAACATAATCGGGGTGAACTAGGATTCGAACCCACAATCATTGGTTTCTGGCGTGCCTAAGCAATGCAACTCTGCACAGTGAATTGTGGTGCCTTAGATGACCGGGACACCTGTGTCCCCTATCAATGATAGAGTATCAAATCACAAAAATATACCATTGATCAACGTACATTTAGTTGACTGGACCCTTGGTTTAGGGGATAATGATAGCTATATGTTTTCTTCTCACGCTCCAGCTGTCATTTTGTCCCATGTAAAATGAAACAGTAAATACTCAGTCCACAAACAACAATAATCTATGATACCATACAACAGTTGAACACAACTCCATAATCAATTCAATGATATTCTGCAATTTTGTGAGGCACAGATTATAGTAATTAGTTCCTGCAGTTGTCTACCACTGTCCGTTCACATTCATTCATTGTGTCAAACATGAATATTTATGAAAAGACGTGTTCGTCACAACTGAAGTGTAGGGAAAGCAGGTAATACTCTAAATGATCAGTATTTATCACCACTTAAATTTCTGTGAAACCCACAAATTTGAGTGTGGTGTTCACATCTATTAGGATCACAACCTGGCTGAAATCATGCCAGGAACATTCCTACATGACACATAGATGGTTCTGTATTGGTTTTTCTAGTCACAGAATGGCTGACAGGCAATTTACGGGAGACTTAGACACCCCTTATGTTGTTCACATTGTAATGGCATACCTACCATTTAGGCAGGTTCTGGAATCAAGTTCCAAACACAAAGGAAATGAGGACAAGACACCTGGGCTGTAAGGGTATAACTATCACATCCACCCTTGGTTTCTCGTTTAAACTCCTTCAACAGAATCAACAATTCCAATAGAACAAGGGAAATTAACTCCATGACTATCTCATATCACTTTGATCCTCAACTCTGTCGTCAAGACACAACTAAAAACTAAATGTGGGTTATCCACACCTACATCTATTCATCCACACCTGGCACAACGACTTTTGAAACCCTACAACAAACCAGTGAACCCACTTCCTCACCCACCAACCAGGACCACACCCACGACTACAACCACACCCACATCTAATGATCTATACTCCAAACCAGTAAACTCACTTGAAACAACCAGGACCACACCCACGACTAGAACCACATCCACATCTAATGATCTATACTCCAAACCAGTAAACTCACTTGAAACAACCACAACCACAACCACACCCACATCCAATGATCTATACTCCAAACCAGTAAACTCACTTGAAACAACCACAACCACACCCATGACTACAACCACATCCACTTCCCCATCTAATGATCTATACTCCAAATCAGTAAACTCACTTGAAACAACAATGACCACATCCACGACTACAACCACACCCACATCTAATGATCTATACTCCAAACCAGTAAACTCACTTGAAACAACCACGACCACATCAACGACTACAACCACACCCACATCCAATGATCTATACTCCAAACCAGTAAACTCACTTGAAACAACCACGACCACACCCTTGACTACAACCACACCCACTTCAGAATCTAATGATCCAGCGTTAGAAAGTGGCACTAGTCCTGTAGTCTTTGCAAAACTGCCCAATAGTTAAGGTATCATAAGGACTAGTAGGAATTTGCCATTTTTTAGGGGTTTGCTATATATTATCATTATTAGGACTAGTGGGCTAAAACTGTTAGTTTCTACCACTGTGATCTACACCAGAAACCAGTTAAACCACCTCAAACACCAACTTCCACATCCACTTCGACATTCATGACTTTAACTACACTCACTTCCACATCAATACCTGAAAACCAATACACTTCAGCAGCAATTCAACAGCCACTTCTACATCGATACCCACATCCACATACACAACCTGACTACAACCACACCCAGTTCCACATCTAAGGATCTATACCCAAGCCAGTAAACCCACTTCTACATCAGAACTAACTACCACACCCACTTCTACACCCATACTAACAAGCACACCCACTTCTACATCTGAACTAACAACCACACCCACATCCACAAACACACGCAGTTCCACATCTAATGATCAATACCCCAAGCCAGTAAACCCACTTCTACATCCGAACCAACAACCACACCCACTTCTACATCTGAACCAACAACCACACCCACTTCTACATCCAAACTAACAACAGCACCTACATCCACATCCACAACCACACCTAGTTCCACATCTAATGATCAATACCCCAAGCCAGTAAACCCACTTCTACATCCGAACCAACAACCACACCCACTTCTACATCTGAACCAACAACCACACCCACTTCTACATCCAAACTAACAACAGCACCTACATCCACATCCACAACCACACCTAGTTCCACATCTAATGATCAATACCCCAAGCCAGTAAACCCACTTCTACATCCGAACCAACAACCACACCCACTTCTACATCTGAACCAACAACCACACCCACTTCTACATCCAAACTAACAACAGCACCCACATCCACAACCACAACCACACCTAGTTCCACATCTAATGATCAATACCCCAAGCCAGTAAACCCACTTCTACATCCGAACCAACAACCACACCCACTTCTACATCTGAACCAACAACCACACCCACTTCTACATCCAAACTAACAACAGCACCCACATCCACAACCACAACCACACCTAGTTCCACATCTAATGATTAATACCCCAAGCCAGTCAACCCACTTCTACATCCG